TCCAAAACCAGCTGCTCACATGATCAAGAAGGACCATCAGCCTAACGATGAATCATTAGCACACTGATGTCCGTTTACTATTCACAGAGGGCTGAGTGATATTATCAATAACAGCATTGTAAGAGAGGGACAGTTGAACACGGAGGCCTCCACCCATTTAATGATGGACGGTTTCTTTTCACATAGAAAGAAACCCAAACAGGACTCCAGTCAGACATCAGGTGAAAAGGAGGAACCCAGACCAGTGGTCATTCCGTATGTTGAGGGAGTATCAGAGAAACAGAGACTTTACTTTCTAAACACAACATCCAAGTGGCTTTTAAACACAAAAATACATTAAAGACTGGTTCATCCCAAAGATCCAGTCCCCCGGCACAAACAGAGTAATGTTGTGTATGCTGTTCAGTGTCAGGAGGGCTGTGATCAGTCTTACATCGGGGAAACTAAACAGCCACTGGCCAAAAGGATGGCCCAGCACAGAAGATCAACATCATCAGGCCAGGACTCTGCGGTCTACACTCATCTCCAGGCAGTGTTGTAATGTAACAAAGTAGAAATACTTCGTTACTGTACTTGAGTAGAATTTTGACATACTTTTACTTTACTTCGTTATTTACATTTCTAGTGACTTTCACTTTTACTTCACTACATTTCCTCAAAAAAATGTGTACTTTTACTTCAATACATTTCCCTTAACCATCTTAGTTACTACAATTTCAAATGAGAAGAAATCTGACTGGGCAATTCCTGCTTGTTCTCCCAGTCTGTGACTTCATGCGGCCGCTTCTCTCTCTCTCACTGACACTTCCAATCCCAGTCTCTCCTCCACCACTTATGTGAAACCTGCAGCTCCTGCTGTGAACAAGCTCGATGCATATACAGATATCAATCATTACAATAGAGCTTTGTTGACTCACAGTGGAGACACATTCCTGATAGGTGTGAAAATGACAGTAGCTGCGAAAAAGGAGAAGTTTGTTGTTCTCCAGGACAAGAACTGCTTCAAGAGCATAGGAACTATTATTTCCTACGCTATTATATTATCCTATAATATATCCTATATTATTATTATGCACCCTGTTGGATCTCTGCCTCTCCACCACTTATTTCAAGTTCAATGACAGTTTTTACAGACAGAAGCACAGCTGTGCCATGGGATCTCCAGTGTCACCCATTGTTGCCAATCTCTACATGGAGGAAGTGGAACAGAGAGCCCTACACTCCTATGAGGGAACAAAGCCAAGCCATTGGTTCCGATATGTGAATGACACCTGGGTCAAAATCCAAGCCAAGGAAATAGAAGCGTTCACCAGACACATTAACTCGGTCGATAACAACATCAAGTTCACCAGAGAGGATGCAAACGACAACAAGCTGCCTTTTTTGGACTGTTTGGTTCAGATGGAGAGAGAGGACAGCCTCAACATTGAAGTGTACAGGAAACCAACCCACACAGACCAGTATCTTCTGTTTGACTCCCACCATCCACTGGAACACAAACTCTCTGTCATCAGAACTTTACAACATCGGGCCGAACGCGTCCCCACGAAGACAGAAGGGAAGGAAAAGGAACTGAAACACGTTCAAGAAGCTCTTCAAACCTGTGGATATCCTAACTGGGCTTTTGTCAAGTCAGCAAGGAAATCTACAAAACACACTAATAAACAGAAAAAGGAGAACAACAGACGTAAAAACATTGTCATCCCTTATGTTGCTGGAGTATCAGAGAAATTCAGAAGGATCTTCAACAAACACAAGATCCCAGTACATTTCAAACCCAGCAGGACTCTCAGACAGAGGCTGGTCCACCCTAAGGACAAGACACCCATACACAAACAGAGTGGTGTAGTGTATGTGGTCCAGTGCAGCGAGGACTGTCCAGACCTCTACATTGGAGAAACTAAACAGCCTCTTCACAGACGCATGACTCAACACAGGAGAGCCTCCTCCTCTGGACAAAATTCCGCAGTTCACCTCACCCTCACAGATAAGGGACACTCTTTTGAGGACCAAAATGTGCACATTTTGGACCGAGAACACAGATGGTTTGAGAGGGGGTGAGGGAAGCAATTTATGTGAAAAGAGAAAAGCCGTCTCTTAACAGAGGAGGAGGCCTCAGATTTCCACTTTCAAAAACATATAATGCAACTTTAAAACAGATCCCCAGCCGTTTTTCACACCTGATGGGAACAGAGGGGCCTCGACTGTGAATTAGAGGAACAAAGACCTACTGTTTAGGTTTTTAGGTGTGAACTGCCAATCTACATATGTGTGTGTGTGTCTTATGTGTGTGTGTGTCTTATCTCACTCAGCCTTATAACCTGTATCTCTCACTCTCTGCTCTTTGAATTGAGAAAGCTCCTCGGATGAGAAGCGAAACGTCTTCTGTTACAAATAAAGTCCAGTTGTTTTTGTATTGAACGTTTTTGAATTTATCATCCTGGATGACTGAGAATCTTCACCAGCACATAACCAAACAGAACCGAGCTCAGTAAACAAGTCTGCTACACAACAATGTGGACTTTCTAACAGCTTTGATAATAAATGTTAATAAAGGTTGAATGAATATACTTCATTAGAATCAGACTTTTTAAAGAGCAATCTTTCATTGTTCAGGTCAAACTTTCCACGTTTTTTCCACTGGATAAAACCCCACCCAATAAATGTTGTTTTGGAAATTCTAACCATTTACTTTTATTTAATACTCTTACTTTAAGTACATTTTATAAGAGAAATTTACTTTTGATACTTAAGTACATTAAATGTCAGATACTTTGAGACTTTTACTTAAGTAATTATTTCAAAGGAGCCATTAACTTTTTCCAAAGTAATTTTATGGTACGATACTTGTACTTTCTCACTTTGAGGTACTTTATACAAAACTGTCTCCAGGCCAGCAGTCACTCTTTCATGGATGAAGATGTTCACATCCTGGACAGAGAGGAACGATGGTTTGAGAGAGGAGTAAAGGAGGCCATCTTTGTGAAAAGAAACTGTCCATCATTAAACAGGGGTGGAGGCCTCCGGGTTCAACTGTCCCCCTCTTACAATGCTGTGATTGCTAGTATCACTCAACCCCCTGTGAATAGTAAACAGCCATCAGTGTGCTAATGATCCATTGTTAGGCTGATGGTCCTCCTTGATCATGTGAGCAGCTGGTTTTGGTTGTCAGCAGCAAACTGGTTGATTCACTCTGAGAAGGTGCTATTTAAAAGACTGAGCTGAATACAGCACCTCAGACTGAGGAAGTCTTTCGGATGAAAGACGAAATGTTTCTACTTTTTTGTTTGTTTTTTGAATGCCCAGAGGACCAGATTAACTTTTTTTTATATTTATCTACCTAGATTATTGAGCATGCATCAGGAAATCACCTGGATCAAAGATTACCTGACAAACAGACCACAGTTTGTGAGACTGAAGGGTTGTGTGTCTAACCAGGTGGTCAGTAGCTCAGGAGCACCACAGGGGACTGTACTCTCACCATTCCTTTTCACTCTGTACACCTCAGATTTCCAGTACAAAACAGACTCCTGTCATCTGCAGAAATATTCAGATGACTCTCCAGTGGTCGGGTGTATCATAGATGGACAAGAAGCTGAGTACAGGGAACTGGTGGACCACTTTGTGGCATGGTGTGGAAACAATCATCTCATCTTGAATGTGAATAAAACAAAGGAGATGATTGTAGATTTCAGGAGAATCAGGAACAGGTCCAACCCTATTTCCATCATGGGAGAAGAAGTGGAGGTGGTGGAGAAGTATAAATACCTTGGGGTTCACCTGGAAAACAGACTGGACTGGAAATGCAACAGTGAAGCGTCTACAAGAAGGGACAGAGCAGACTGTACTTCTTGAGGAAGCTGAAGTCCTTCAGTGTTTGCAGCAAGATGCTGCTTATCTTCTATAAGTCTGTTGTAGAGAGCGCTATCTCTTCTGCCATCATCTGCTGGGGGAACAGCACCAGAGCAAGTGACTTAAAAAAGATCAACAAGCTCATAAAGAAGGCTGGCTCAGTTCTGGGGACTCCTCTAGAACCTTTGGAGATGATTGTACAAAGAAGGATTCTTCATAAAATGAAGAACATTATAGACAACCCTCAGCATCCTCTTCATCAGACTGTCATACAACAAAGTGTCTTCAGTCAGAGGCTTCTTCAGATCTGTTGTAGGACAGACGGCTACAAGAGATCCTTCCTGCCCACAGCATCAGCATCTAGAACAACTCTTTAATGAAACCATGATGATGAGTTGCAACTACATTTAATTTCCCTCTGGGATTATTAAAGTATTTTTGAATAACCTCCAAGTTGTTTTGAATTATTATGACATGATTGTTAGAACCGAATGGAAACTGAAACAAAAAAGAGGTTATCGGCATATTGACTTACTACAGGGCTAACTTTTAAAACCTGACCAAAACTTATGAATTTTTATATTTTTCACTAAATATAAATAACATAGGGTAATGTATATTTTATGTTTTATTGTTATTGTGTGGATTAATTGTTGAATTAACTCATTTCAAAAGGATGTAAATTCAACAAAAACAATCTGGTTTTACAATAATGCTTGGTTCCAACATGTGCAAAACAGAAATTAAGGAAAAATATTATCATTTACATCCAAAATGTAGCTAAAATAGATGCACAAAATCAGCCTGATTTCTGCAGCTTTAATGTTTCAACCACACACAGTTTCAAAGTATTTGTGTTTTAAATGGTCTTTTTCAAGAAATCCTTGTTTTACTCACTTTAAAAGATTGTCATCTCTTTAAATAGGCAAAATAATAATTTGCTGGCACTTCTAGAGCACAACAAAAAACTACATCTACCAAACTGAAAAGCAGCACTGGGATGAAACCATTTAATTTGTCAAAGTCAACATTAAACTAGCCAGAGTGATTAGCGTGTAATAACCCTGTAAAACAAACAGTAAATGTGACTAGCTTTAGTCAACATTTTGATTTCTTTTCCAAACTTTTAGAACACAAACTATCCTTCAAAGTAATGTGAAAAACATTTGACTTGTGGCAAACGATGCTTTAAACTTTCATCACTTTACATTAGCTGGAAAAAAAAAAAAAAGCATCCAGCAGCTCCTCACAGTTACCAGTATTTAACATAAAATGTCTTTCAGGTGCAGAAAGAAAATTCACAAATATTTATTTCTTTCTAAAAATGAAAACAAACAAACAAAAAAAAAGATACCTTGATAAAGAGTATATTAGAGCACTGATATGAAATCGAGTTCTGATGAGGCTTGCCATGGTTGAAGATGATGCTCCTGCTAGGACAGAGCTCCTCTATGGTTTTGAGGTGTTCTGCATTCTCAAGCGTCTCCGGGCCAAAGCTTCTTGTTTCTTCTTCTCGATTTCAGCTGCAGAGCACTTTCCTGTGGTCTGGCTGCTGACAAAGACTAGAAGAAAGCAAAAAAACCAAACAAACAAAAAATTACTGTTAACACTGGGTATCGTTGATCACTCAAGTTATGACAAGCTGAGTATAAAGACTCGAGGAGAACAGCTGAAAATAGAATGCTTAATTTTTTTATTATAGAATTTAATGTAAAAAAAATTGTTACATTAATCTTCCCTAAAGCTTCTTTGTTTAAACAAATGTACAGTTTTGTGGAAACAATCAAGATATAAACAAACATCTGATTCTCTAAAATATTTTAAAATTTGAGTACTGTAATGTAAAGTTTTCAGGAACAACAAAGGCTTTAGATGCATTATTTTTTTTATTAGGCCCGAGCAGCTAAGCGCTGCGAAGGCCTATTGTAATTGTGTCGTTTCTAATTTTTTTCCGTCAAAGAACGCTAATTTGGAGGCCTTAACATATCCCAAAACTCACCATATTTGACCCAAAATTGTCCCCCGCGAGAAATTTGAGGTATTTAATGGAACCAAAAGTGGGCGTGGCCAAACTGCTCCACAGCGCCCCCTAACGTGAGATATGACAACTGGTAAGTCCTAGAGAGCTGAAATTTGGTACACATGTACAACCCACCGAATCAAGAAAAAAAGTCTCTTGGAGGTATGCCTTAAACCAAACAAGAAGTCGGCCATTTTGGGTCAAAGGGTCAATTTTGGCCGTTTTTCACTTTTCGTACACGGCGAATTTGAACGAACTCCTCCTAGGGATTTCGCTCAATCGGCTTCAAACTTTCGCCATTTTGCTCAGTAGGCATGGGGGACCAAAAGCTATCAAAACGGTGCAAACCGACGCATGTTGAGGGGGCGGGGCCGGACCTCAAAGTTATGCTTCATGCCAAAAATTTCCAAACGCTACAACTTTCACATTGAAAAACAGAATTGTACCAAATTTGGCACGAGTCATCCCTGTCCCATGCCCGACGATACCCTGAGGTCAAATTTGGACGTCATCAAAGCCCCGCCCCCTCAGAACAGGAAGTGACTTTTTTTGCTTGGAATGCTCCCTCCCTGACACTCTTGACCCAATCAGGATGATCCTGTGTTAGAAGACAGATAACAAGTTGGTCTGACTTGCTTTGAAGCGCAAAGCGCTTCCGCTGGAGGATGTGGGCGTGGCGAATTCAGAAGTGACGCCGTTACAATACGTTTGGCTCTAAATTCCACAGATTTGATCCGAGGTTCATGAAAATCACTATGATTGATCATTGCCCGCCCCTTGAACAGGAAGCCATGATAATTGCCCAAAAGCCTCTCTAGCGCCCCCTAGAATATTTTAAAACCTCAGCCCCAAGCCGTTTTTTGACCTATAAATCTGAAACTCGGTGAACATGTGTATCTTCTCAGGACCTATGAAAAAGTCTCTTGGAGCTCCGGTCCAAACTCAACAGGAAGTCGGCCATTTTGGGTCAAAGGTTAATTTTTGGGCGTTTTTAACGGCGAATTTTAACAAACTCCTCCTAGGGATTTTGAAGGATTGCCTTCAAACTTGGTTAATAGGCCTTTAAGACATTGGAGAGTAAAAGTTATCAAAAGCTTTTGGTTTCGTTTTGGTAAAGGGGCGTGGCCAGGCCTCAAAGTTGAGCTTCACGCCATAAATTTCCAAACGTTATAACTTTCAACTTGAAAGACAGAATTGTACCAAATTTGGCACGAGTCATCCCTGTCCCAGGCCCGACGATACCCTGAGGTCAAATTTTGACGTGATCAAAGCCCCGCCCCCTCACAACAGGAAGTGACTTTTTTTAATTGGAATGGTCCTTCTTTGACACACTTCACATAATCAGGATGATCCTGTGTTAGAAGACAGATAAGATGGTCTGACTTGATTTAAACAACAAAACAGTTATAGCTGGAGAATGTGGGCGTGGCGCCATGGCGAATTAAAAAGTGACGCCGTTGCAATACGTTTGGCTCTAAATTGCACAGATTTGAGCCCAGGTGAACCAAAATCACTATGATTGATCATTATCCACCTTTGAACAGGTTTCCATGATAAGTGGCCAAGAGCCTCCACAGCGCAACCTACATTCTTCTTACAGTTATATCTCAGTGATACAACATCCGATCTGAACCAGATTTTTGGTGCGTCATTACTGAGAACCGATGGACATTTTAGTTTTCTTGTTTAATATGTGACTCAAGTGCGCCCCCTACATTATTCAAACTGTTTTGGCTCAGTGATATATCAGCCGATGTGCACCAAATTTATGGTGTATTATTATTTAGCCCTGGAGGACACAGTAGTAATGTTTTTTAAATTTTGACTCTAGAGCGCCCCCTACAATATACCAACAGTTATATGATATAACATCCGATCTGCACCAGATTTTTGTGGAATAATGTGTGACCATGTCTACACACATTGTTATTGTTGTTTAAAATTTGACTCAAGTGCGCCCCTACATTATTCAAACTGTTATATCTCAGTGATATGTCATCCGATGTGGACCAGATTTTTGGTGTGTGATAAGTGAGCACTTAAACACGCAATGGTATTGTTGTTTTACTTTTGACTCAAGTGCGCCCCCTAGATAAATCAAACTGTTATATCTCAGTGACATATCGTCCGATCTGCATCAGATTTTTCGTGCTTGACTAGTGACGACTTATGGACACAGTGGTGTTGTTGTTTAATATTTGACTCAAGTGTGCCCCCTAGATAATTCAAACTGTTAAATCTCAGTGATATATCGTCCGATCTGCACCAGATTTTTGGTGCTTGACTAGTGAGGACTTATGGACACAGTGGTGTTGTTGTTTAATATTTGACTCAAGTGCGCCCCCTACATTATTACAATAGTTATATATGCGGTCGCAGCTTATGTCAAAGGTTCGGCGAATGCGCACTCCGGAGAACGGGCGCGTGACGGTAGCGTGAGCGTTTTCGATGGCGACCGGAAGGAGTCGCTGGAGTTTCCGCGGTCGCCGTAAGGCCGCAGCGGCGATTCGCTGCGAGGGCCTTCAACGCTGCTTGCAGCTTTAATTATTATTATAATTACATTATAATTAGGGCTGGGCGACATGGACCAAAATTACTACTAAAATTACTACAAAACTACTCCATTGATGACGGTGACATTATTTACATGAACGCTCCTACAAGAACCCTGCAGATGTTGGATGCTGTCTATCATGGTGCACTAAGATTCATAACTGCATGTGATTATCATACCCACCACTGCACCCAGTATTCACTGGTTAACTGGACATCATTAATTCAAAAAACGTTCAATACAAAAACAACTGGACTTTTTTTGTAACAGAAGACGTTTCCTTCCTCAATTCAAAGAGCAGTGAGTGAGGGGTTCAGGTTATAAGGTTGAATGAGATAAGACACACACACATGTAGATTGACAATTAACACCTCAACACCAGCTGAAGTGAATTGAGAAAGCTCCTCAGATGAGGAACAAAACATCTTCTGTTACAAATAAAGTCCAGTTGTTTTTGTATTGAACGTTTTTTGAATTTATCATGTCATGGATGCCTGAGAATCTTCACCAGCATATGGACATCATTAACTTCACGCAGACTCTCTCACTGGTACATTTTCATCTTTAAATCACTTCTTTGTCAGCTGCCTTCATACATCTCCTCCTACATGTCTCTGCGTGAGTGCAGCTACAGCGTGCGCTCTCAGGACATTATTACCTGCAGTGTTCCCTCAGTGAGGACTGAATTAGACAAAAGGACCTTCTCCTACTCCGCTCCCGTTTCCTGGAATATCTTACAAAAAGATCTGAAACTCTTGACCTAATGAACAAAGCTGTTAGAAAGCCCACATTGTTGTGTACCATAGTTGGCTTGTTTACTGAGCTCAGTTCTGTTTGATTACGGCCCGTTTTTTTTCTGAATTTAAAAGTTCCTAGGCTCTTGAATGCACCGCTCTGTGTAAACAAAGTTTCAAGCTGTGTGTGTGTCAGTCAGAGTTTTTTCCTCTCCTGACACAAGACGGAGCCTTGCAGCTTTGTTGAAGCAGCCACTGTCCTTGGGTGTCATGAAAGGCGCTTTTTAAATAAAATGATATTATTATTATTACTGTCATTTTCACACCTTATCAGGAAGTGCTCTCCCACTGTGAGTCAACTAAGACACAGTATATGCATATGTCTTCAGCTAAACAAAGTAGCCCAGGAGGAGTGGGTTTGTCAACGAGGGAGTGAGGAGGGGTAGTGTGAAAAGCTGCAGCCTGCAGAGTCAGACTGAGAAAAACTGCTGGATTTATCTTTATGTAGAGTATAAGACTATATCATTTTATATCATCCATCCATCCATTTTCTTTACCCGCTTATTCCATTTTGGGTCACGGGGGTCGCTGGTGCCCATGTCCAGCAATCACTGTGCGAGGGGCGGGGTACACCCTGGATGGGTCGCAAGTCCATCACAGGGCCACACAGAGACAAACGAGACAAACAACCATTCACTCTCTCACTCACACCTAGGGACAATTTAGAGTTACCAATCAGCCTAACATGCATGTTTTTTGGACTGTGGGAGGAAACCGGAGTACCCGGAGAAAACCCATGCATGCACGGAGAGAACATGCAAACTCCACCCAGAAAGGCCCCCGGACCGGGGTTTGAACCAGGGAGCTGCTCGCTGAGAGGCAGCAGCTCTACCAGTTGCGCCACCGTGCTGCCCCATTTTATATCAATATAGTCTAATTTTATCTTGCGCTTTAAATCATCTCGATGTTTTTAAAATATCGATATATTGCCCAGCCCTAATTATAATGTAATACCAGCAAGATGTCTGCCGTTTCCTATCTAAGATTCTTATTCTGATAAGGATAAGAGAGGCCGCGCTTAGAGCAGCAGCAGCTTGGTGCACTCCGTCCATCTTCCGGACGACTGTATGTACATGTTCTCGTATCTCCGTGCAACGATAATAAAGCTGATTCTGAATTCTAATTTTATTTCCCCATGGTTTGCAACAGAAGTGAAAATAATTATTCATCTCAGGATTCAGTTAAATTACAACTCAAAGGGCTTTGATGCAATTATAAAATGAAAATTGAAGCATTTCAATTATCTTGAAACTTACATGGCTATGGCTTGTATATAAATAAACACCGAGTAATATAGTTTAATGCTTATAAAGAGTGCTCAATAACACTTGTCAAAAAACTTGATTAATCACAAGTTCAGGGCCAACAATTAGCATAGACATCAACTTATGAAAGACCGTAGAAAAGCTAATATGATTAGCACCGTGTTTATTACTGGAAACCTGTGCATAAATCAGAAGGCATTACTACAAACGTGCTAGAATAATTTAAATTAATATTTACAAACAAATTTTTCAGTGTTCAACAAAAAATTATAAAAAGAAGTGAAAACAAACAGCTTTACTGCAACATGTTTCTACAACTTAAATAATAACTATGACACAAACAGCCCAACAACAACTGTTAAATTGGCAGCACAGGTTAACATGAACTAAATGGATCTTTGACATTTAAAAATGAATTAAACATCTTCAATGGTTGCATTGTGATGCATCTAAAAATAAACTTTAACTCCTAACCCTAGTAAAGGAAGAACTTTACAAAGGCTGAAAATATTTCCCAGATTTAATACAGGTAGTTTTAACAGCAAAAACCAGTACAAGATTTTAAATGGGATTGTTTGAGAAAAGATTTTCATTTTAAGAGCTTCCTATAGCCTACCATTAGAATGTTACAATAATCGATCTGCAAACATTTAAATTCAGTTCTCTTACCTTTGTTTCGTATGACTGCAGAGTCAGACATGTTTCTCTTGAATGCTGTGTGATGAGATTTAGAAATGTGTGGTCCTCTGGTTGTCATGGTCTGCAGCTTTGTATCCATATTACCATTTCCAGCCTGGAAATTTCCAGAGAAATTGCTGCAAAGGTTAAATGTGTCCTGACCGACACGACTTTTTGGAAAGCTTTGAGACATTCCTGATTTACTGTTGGTGCCGTTCATGGGAATGTTCCATCCTTGGTGGCTAGCATTACAACTAGTCCCAGGTAAAGAGTTAGAACGTAAGAAAGTTCCTGATGATCGCCTGTTATTAGCACTGGCACCAGAAAGAACAGACCCTGTTGTGTTGGTCGGCAGGACCTCGGTGGTTTTCAGTTGACCGCCTACAGCCACTTCTTGGTGTTCTCTGCACTTGCTTGGATTCACCTCCTTTGGATGACAGTTGGAGATCTTCTCCAAGCTGTCACAAACCTGATAAAGCAGTTCATCATCTCCACTGTCCCACAAACTGTCTGAAATGTCTTTAACAGAAGGCGCTCCAACTTCAGTAGTGATGCTGTTGGGTTGGACAGCTGGACGCGTCTTAGGGACAGCAGAGTTCTTGACAGTCATTTTGGATTTGGGTTGTATTACAGTGAAACTGGTCTTTGACACATCCTTGTTCATCTTGGACGGGAAGTGAGGGTTGGGCTCTAATCTGAAAGTGCTTCGGTTGGAAAGTTTTGGTTTGGGACACAGTTCTTGAAGGGACTGGACAGCGTCTGAGTTTAAAACAGAGAGCTTAGAGTTTGTCTGAGTGTGTGACTTCAGTGTTGTGTCAGGATTAGCATCTAGTCCATTTGGATTCTGGGTAATTGCTAGAATGAAGGGATCATTGAGTAAGTCATCACTCTCCCAGTCATCATAAAACTCAATGCGGTTTTTTGTACTGAGACTGCAGGTTTCTTTTTGTTCTGCTGTCCCTGACTTATCAGCTGGCTTGAGCTCGGTCTGTTGATGTTTAGCAAAACCTTCAGACACAGGTTGGTCCACCATTTCTTGGGAACACACGGAACCCTCACTTAACCTGCCACTGACTCCTTGAGTGGAGCAGTCGAACAGAGCGTGCAGCTCTGCTTCTGCCTGATCTGATGAGGAGGAACACTTTAGATTCTTCACATGACTCAGTACTGACGATGTTGTCGGTTTAGTTTCATATGTGTTCACACTTTTACAATGGTCAGTGGTGACAGAATTCAGCTGTTCTGAAGTCTCCTCATCTTGTTGCATGTTTTCATCAAACTGCTTGGCCAGTTTCCAGAGGTCCTCCACATTACTCTGTCTATGAAATAAAAAAAGACACAAAAGAAGTAAACACTCACGGAGCACTAACAAGGATTAAGATAAGTAAAAGCCATGTTTACTAAAGCAGAAAATACTGATTGATAACAGACCGTGAGGACTTCTTCCTGCCATTTTGATTTGAATTCACTGGCGGGCTGAGAATGGTGCCATCAACAATCCAACGAGACAGTGAGGATTCAGACCCCTTGGGGTTTATGTTCTACCTCAAAAAAAATCAAAGCACTACATTAGAGCTAATTTTCTCAAAAGCGCTACACAGAAGTGTCTTATTGAAGCAACCAAAAGTTCAGCGCACAAAGACTAAAATGATCAGACAAAGAGTTGAATGGTTAGGGAGATGATGAAAAACCAACTGACCTTTGGTGCAATACGGTTTACAATGTCAGATATTTCCACATCATTGGTGTTCTTGAGTCTCCATCCTGGGAAACAAAAGACAACTCAAACAATTTTTCACACATATGGCTGTGAGGAAAGAGAATAGTATCATTGTTGTTTGCATTCATATCAATCCTGTTGAAAAAAAGAGATTTCTTTATTCAATGACTCTGTGTTGCTTACTATTCTGAGTGGGAGATGTGGAGTCCCAGACGATGTCTTGTGAAGCTTCTACGTCTCCGGGAGACACTCCTACATTCAGTTCGGGGTGTCTGCTGCTGCCTCTGAGTCTCGGACTCAGCAAATCTGTGCAAACAGTTGACAAGTGTTACAGAATGATGCATAAAAGTTGGCTTTCCATTTAAAATACGACAAGAAACACCATCATAATTCCTCAGTAGTAGATGTAAAGAAGTGTAACAAAAATGGTAACGTTACAGTGGGGAAGATCACGTGCTGCTGCAATAATGACAATTTAGAATTTCCAGCATCATGGAAGAATTTGATCCTGCTCCGTCTGACAGAACTGCATTAGTTACGATGTTTGTAGAGTTTGAGTTAAAGGAGTTACCCAACGTTCACATGTGATGTCAGATTGTTTAGTTTATCACTATAGGGGAGAGAAATCTGAAATTTCCTCCAGTTTTACAGAAAGAGTTTGACTGTGGACTTCAAACATACTTTAGACACGTTGTTTTACAGCCGAAGAGGAGACTACATTTATTTATTTATTTTACTATTTCTTCCTGGATCTGTGGATTCCTCTTTTATTTCTCTTGCACACAAATATGTTGTGAAAATGTAACTATTCTTTTAACTATTCTATAACACTCACAACTAACAGTCATGCCTATGAATGAAAGCACCTGGTTATAATTTCAGCTTTTTACAATATGCTCATTCTAAACAAAATATGTTGGTGCCTGAAATATGTGTTGGAGATCAGTTTCAGCTCATAGCACACCACATTTCTGTCAAGTGTCTGTGAGTTACAGCCATCTGAGTGTTTGAAAAGGTTTGTGACAGTCATTCACAATAAGGTTAAATATAGAAAATAAAATAAAATTAATCACTTGTAGGAGTTTATCCAATACACGCTCTGCAAGTAAGAAAAAAAGGGGGGTCAGAGATTTTGATTCATGAGATATTTTTGTAACAAACAGAAAAAAACATGATACATATGTTCTGCGACCCTTAAATCCTCACAATTTTTTTATAAACAGCCACTTACAAGTGAAGTTAAAGAGCTCCGTCTGAAAGGTTCACACACATTTGCTAATCACACATTAAACAATTCTCATCAATACAAGAATGTTTATTTGTTGTAACTGGAAACTTTGTGCAATAATATAATACAAGCTCTTTACCATTACAGTGGCCCGAGTCCAGTTGTTTAAGAATAGTGTTGCAAAAAGGTTTTACTTTTAAAACACAAGTGAAGACTGTAGACCTTTAAGCAGGCACTTGGATTGATTTTTACTGAAGGTTTTTTTTTACTTATGAAACCTGGAGAATCAATTAGTACATGAAATACTATTGTAGGAGCTATTTGTCTATTTTTTGTTGTCTTTGAATTAGTTTATTGGTTTATAAATTAGCTTATTTTTAGGCTTGATTTTAAAATTAGCATTTTTATTTAACCACAACTGTTTAGAATAAATTTGTTGGTTAGTAATTTGTTTATTGTATATATTTATTTGGTATGTGGGTATTATAGACCTGCCATAAACTGGATTCTTTTGGACCTTTCCTTTAACCACAAACCCACGGAGCAACAAGTGATTATTGAGTAACATTCGCCTTCAGTTAGTTTGGTCGTTTGGTTTAGGTTTTCATGGACAAATAGTTACTGCAACTATAAAAGAGTATGGGCTGTTAGCTAACATGAGCCTTGAAATACACCGTGAACCAACACCATGGGTTAAGTTACGTTTGATTTATGGAGGCACTGCATGTGAGTCTCTGAAAAGGTTGCGAGTTGTTTTGAATGTTTTCACAGCCTCGGCCCCAGTTCGTTTTGATCTCCTGAGACGACGCACCATGTTTTGTTTTTTTCATTCAACCTTTATTTAAAAGACTAATTTACAAGAGAGACCGATTTTAGGTCATGCTTTAGATTTAGTTTATCTGAACTAAAAGCACTGAGCTGCGTGTCATTTGAGTATTATTATAACGCGCATTCTTACCGTTACACGCAGGTGATGTTGTTGTTCCAGGCATCTGCTGCCCCGTTGAACTGCCCTGCTGAGTTTTGTTTAGGTCGAGTGTGAAAACTAAATTACTCCACAGCTTAGAGAACTTGAGGTTTTGCACAAAACCTGACATGACTCAGAAAACCAGCAGCGACAGCGCTCCTAATCATCATTCTGTTGATTAAACAGCGCGGACAGCAGTTTATACTGAGAAAGTCGGCTGGATTTTAAACCTTTCTGCGTGCTCGTTCAAAACAGGCCGCCATGTTGGTTATCTGTGACGCCAGCAAACTACGGGTGCCCGTTAGGTATGTCGCAGTCATTCGCAGACTACTAGAGCTCAGATATACATGCATTACCATAAAGAAATGCTCCAATAAAATTATAAGATCACATTTACAAAAAGTAGCTCTTCCCTCCGTCAGGTCCTATTGGTGTTCTCTATACGGTGAAATGGATTGGAACCTAGCTCGGTTGATTAGAGAAAAATACTCTATGAACTACAAGGTAAAGGAGATCCCTTCAAAATTTTACACCACATTTATCCAGCGATAAAGATATTTGAACGACTGAAGCTTGTAACTGACTACTCTTGTTCTTTCTGTGAATCCAATATTGAAACAGTTTCACATTTATTTTTTCAGTGCTCATACAGTAAGATATTCTGGACTGACTTGCAACACTAACATAAAACCAGGCAAAGAGTCACCTTTGATGAAAGAGACTTTTTTTAAAAATAATTTAGTATTTATTTATTAACCTTTATTTAACTAGGTAAATCCTGCTGAGATGACAGATCTCTTTTGCAAGAGAGGCCTGGGACTGAAGGCAGCCTATGCATGTTTTTTTGTTGTTGATGTTGTTGTTGTGTGGAGGAAATCAGAGTACCTGGAGAAAACCCATACAAGCATGAGAAGAACATGCAAACTCCACACAGAAAGACCCCAGGTCCAACCGGGGATTGAACCCAGAACCTTCTTGCTGTGAGGTAACAGCAATAACCACTGAACCAGCGTGCTGCCAAAATAATAAAGATATGGAAAAAGACACAACCCATTTGCTACAACTGTTTCTGCTCCTTGGGAAATATCACATTCATAAAGCCAAATGATCTAACTCCAAACCAAATATTAGATACTTCCTCCAAAAACGTTTTAATTATGACTCAAATATAAAATATATCCCCAATAAGAAAGCTATCTATACAAAGAAGATTTTCTACAAGTTCAAGATTTATGACCCATCTACTTGTCATCTACTACTATGCATTACTGTTTCATGTCCCCCCTGGTGTTTTGTTTGTATTATTGATGTTGATGATTGACAACCAGAAGTTATTGTATGTCTTATAATTTTCAATAAAAAAATACTAGAGCTCAGGCAAGCCCCAAGTAGGTATGTCTAGGAAACTATTACTGTATATTATTTAATGCCCAGTTCATTTAAATGAATTCATACATGTTTACTGTATCAACATCACTGTTCGTTAGTGAAAATCTTAGCAGTTTTAAAGTGTAAGTGCACACTTCTGAATTGATGCAAAATTTCATGAAGACCACTTCACTCTACTACTTTTAGTAATTTACTAGATTACTAAAATTATAAGAAATATTTTAACTTTATACATCATATGATCAACATGGGCAGCACGGTGCCGCAACTGGTAGAGCTGCTGCCTCTCAGCGAGCAGGTCCTTGGTTCAAACCCCGGTCCAGGGGCCTTTCTGGGTGGAGTTTGCATGTTCTCTCCGTGCATGCGTGGGTTTTCTTTGGGTACTCCGGTTTCCTCCCACAGACCAAAAACATGCATGTTAGGCTGATTGGTAACTCTAAATTGTCCCTAGGTGAGTGAGAGAGTGAATGGTTGTTTGTCTTGTTTGTCTCTATGTGGCCCTGTGATGGACTTGCGACCCGTCTAGGGTGTACCCCGCCCCTCGCACAGTGATTGCTGGACATGGGCACCAGCGACCCCCGTGACCCAAAATGGAACAAGCGGGTAAAGATAATGGATGGATGGATGGATGGATGATCAACATGTTTTTACTGTTGAAAACGGAGTTCAGGTAAAATTACTTCTGTTAAACACATGTTTATGATCTGAGTTACACAAAACTTCTTCTTTCGGCTTTTTCGTCTTTGTGGGTCACCACAGCAAGTCATCTTCCTCCATCTCACTCTGTCCTCACTCCAACTACCTCCATGTTCTCTCTAACAGCATCCATATATCTCCTCTCAACATGTGTTGCACCTCTGATGATCTCATTCCTAATCTTATCCATCCTTGTCACATTTAAGGAGAACCTCAACATCTTCATTTCTGCTACTTCCAGTTCTGTCTCCTGTCTTTTTGTCCATGTCTCTGTCTCCAGACCATACAACATAGCTGGTCTCACCACTGTCTTGTAAACTTTTCCTTTGACCTTTGCTGAAACACTTTTGTCACAAATCACTCCTGAAACTTTTCTTCATCCACTCCATCCTGTCTGGACTCTCCTTTTCACCTCTTTACCACACTCCCCATTTTCTTGGACAGTGGACCCCAAGTATCTGAAGTTGTGCACCTTTGTGACCTCTGCTCCTTGTAGCCTCACTGTTCCACCTCCTCCCTCTCATTCACACATGTACTCTGTCTTACTACAGCTGACTTTCATTCATCTTCTTTCAAGTGCATATATCCACTTCTCCAAGTTCTCTTCCACCTGCTCCCCGTTCTTACCACAGATCACAATATCATCTATAAACATCACAGTCCATGGGGATTCCTGCCTGACCTCATCTGTTAGTTGGTCCATCACCAGAGCAAACAAGAAGGGGCTCAGAGCCGATCTTTGATGCAATCCCACCTCCACCTTGAAGCTACCTGTCACTCCTGCAGCACATCTCACCACTGTCCTGCTGTCCTCATACATGTCTTGTACCAGTCTAACATACTTCTCTGCCACTCCAGATTTCCTCATGCAATACCACACCTCCTCCCTCGATACCCTGTCATATGCTTTGCTGTAGCTTTGTGTCATACTGACACAAAACTGAGTTGATTAAAGTGCTGTAGTACAGAACAATGAAACATAGAAACAGTAAACAGTACAACACAGGAAAAGTAAATATACTATAATTTTAAAATACCATTTTAAAGTTAGCTCTACCAAAACAAACTTCATGCACACCCCATCCTCCCAACTCTGCTTTTTGAATTTTATTCAAAATTTCTATTCCTCTAAATGACATGGAAAATTAATAGTTTATCAATGTTTCCAAAGTTTATATGTCAGTGGGACCCCTATTTTTACAGATATTTCAGGTTTCTGTAAAATAAATCTATCATTTTTTTATCAATGTTCCAATGTGACATAAAAAATGAAGCAATTCATGATGTGCTTGCAATTCTATTTTTATTTTATTTATTTATTTACCCTTTATTTATGCAGGTAGTTTCATTGAGTCACAATAACTAATTTTCAAGAGAGACCTGTTTTGGGAGCAGATGGTGGGGGTTAAGTACCTTGCTCAAGGGCACAGAGTGGGGCAAATGAGGATGGAGACAGGTGTGGCTGCTTCACCTTTTCCACCCACATATTTTTGATAGCAGTCCGGGGAGTTGAACCTGCAACTTTTCAATCACAGTCCCATCTTCTATAACGTTTGCGCCACCACTCCCCAACCCAAATAAATACTAGATCCCCTAAACTAAATCCCAAATAAATACTAGAAATGTGATTACCAGGGTAAATGTCTGCCATTATCTGCATCTACAATCCTTGTCGAATTCCACTGTTCCCCAAAATATGATCAGATATCAGAGTTGCATTTTTTTCACAGATCACAGGCAGAAAAAATAATTCACAAAAATGAACTGTCTGGAAAAGCATGTTAAATAGCTTACCATATGATGCATCTACTCCTGTTCCTTTCCAACTAGTTCTAGTTAAATAACTGTTTAAAACTTTAGCTTAGTCCATGCATATGTCATGGCTGAATTTTTATTTACTTCAGTGTTAACAAATTTGCAATTTGATGACTCCAAATTAATCTTTGCTGCTGAAACATGCTGCTGCCATCTTAGTTATCTCTGAATGCTGAGCGAAGCCACCATATGATCAATGTATTTATCTGACTATGTTGTTGCTCATGCAGACAGATGCACACAATGAGGATTTTTTTACTCAACTGAACACTGAATTACATAACCAAGAGTGAAATATTTGAAAATGATAAACTTCTTACTTGTTTTATTGTTAAAAAAAAAAAAAGAAGGAAAGGGTAAATGAAAGTTTTATATTATATTGATGAAGGTTTGATTGATACTGGCACATTTCTGTTGAAACAGTTTCAGCAGAAATTAAGCAATTGTCTGCCTTTAAACTCAGACAAGATTGAGGTTTTGGTTTTTGGACCTGAGAATCCTTGTAATAAAATTTTCAGTCTTTCACCGTCCTTGGATGGCATTAATCTAGCCTTCAGCTCTAATGTTAAAAATCTTGGTGTTATTTTTGATCAGGACATGTCTTTTATCCTCCACATTAAAAACGTTACTAGAACCGCCTTCTTCCACCTGCGTAATATCCCTAAAATTAGAAACATCTTATCTAAAAATCCATCCATCCATCCATCCATCCATCCATCCATCCATCCATCCATCCATCCATCCATCCATCCATCCATCCATCCATCCATCCATCCATC